GTGAAACAGATCACCAGCCCAGGTGGGATGCATGAGACAAGTGCTCGGGCCTGGTGCACTGGGAAGACCCAGAGGAATCGGGTGGAGAGGGAGGTGGGAGGGGGGATCGGGATGGGGAATACATGTAACTCCATGGCTGATTCATGTCAATGTATGACAAAACCCACTGAAATGTTGTGAAGTAATTAGCCTCCAACTAATAAAAATAAATGAAAAAAAAATACAGCAAGAGTGTAACAACTAAGAGGGGGAAAAATAAAAAATAAAAAGGTCGGCACATGTCACTAGAGTTTAAAATATGTACATTCGCTTCCACTCACAGATTTTAATTCAATCATCATATATTTCTGCAGCATACGCTATGCAGAAGGTGCTATAAAGTCATAGCCACTGGGCTAAATATCTTCGGAATACTTACTGAGGGATCACATGAGCAGTCGAGGCTCTCTCTGGGCGCTCTTGGGAAGGGGCACTGGACCAGGGAGCGGACTTCTTTGGGATGCTTTGGAGTGTAGACAGGATTGCTTAGAAGGTGATTAAGGCTTCCATGAGTCCCATTATTAGGAGCTGGGGTCAAATTCAGTAAATCTGCACAATTCCAAGAATGGTAAATAAAGATTTACTTAAGAAATTTCAAAATTAAATAGTAGTTTTGCACTATGAATTTTATTTTTTAAATCCAAATATATATGAGTCCTTAACTCTTTACCTAAAATAAAACTAAAAATCTCTCTCATGTTGTAGAATATTTATGATCAGGTTATTCTTGATGGAAATATTGATATGCATGCTGTGCTTCTCTATAAAAATTTCTAAATTTTAGTGTAAACAATAACTATAGTTATCCCCTATTGAATGCTTATTATATGCCAATCATGCTAAATATATTTAAGTTGTCAATATTTGGTAGATGAATACAGGCAGACATCATTTCATTGTTATTCAGTCATTAAGTCACGTCTGACTCTCCGCAACCCCATGGACTGCAAAATGCCAGGCTTCCCTATCCTTCACTATCTCCCAGTTTGCTCAAACTCATGTCCATTGAGTCGATGATGCCATCCAACCATTTCATCCTGTCATCTCTTCTCCTTTTGCCCTCAATCTTCCCCAGTATCAGGGTCTTTTCCAATGAGTTGGCTCTTTGCATCAGCTGGCCAAAGTATTGGAGCTTTAGCATCAGTCCTTCCAGTGAATATTCAGGGTTGATTTCCTTTAGGATTGACTAGTTTGATCTGCTTGCTATCCAAGGGATTCTCAAGAGTCTTCTATAACACCACAGTTTGAAAGAATCAATTCTTCAGCACTCAACCTTCTTTATGGTCTAACTCTCACATCTGTACATGACTACTGGAAAAACCATAGCTTTGACTTGACGGAACTTTGTTGGCAAAGTCATATCTCTGCTTTTCAATACGCTGTCTAGGTTTGCCATAGCTTTTCATCCGAGGAGCAAGCATTTCATTGTACTTCATTTTATTACACTCCAGAGATTTTTTTATAGTTGAAGGTCTGTGACAGTCCCACATTGTGAGATGATGCTTAGCATGTTTTAGCGATAAAGTACTTTTTAATTAAAGTCTGTATATTTTTGTAAGCATAAGCTATTGCACACTTAATAGACTACGCTACTGTGTAAAAATAGCTTTTATATGCACTGAAAATCAAAAAAACTCATGTACTTGCTTTATTAGAGTATTTACTTTATTGCAATAGTCTAGAACTGAATTTCAATTTCTCCAAGGTGGGCTTCCCAGGTGGTGCTAATGGTAAAGAACCTACCTGCCAATGCAGGAGAATTAGGAGATGTGGGTTCAATCCCTGGGTCAGGAAGATCTCCTGGAGAAGGAAATGGCAACCCACTCCAGTATTCTTGCCTGGAAAATCCCATGGATAGAGGGGCCTGTTGGGTTTCAGTCTGCAGTGTCGCAAAGAGTTGGACTGGACTGAAGCGACTTGGTACACATGCACACCTGGAATCAGCATGCTTACTCAGCTAAAGGTCTCAAGCTACTAATACAGTAGACCTAGGTTTCAAAATCAGCTCAGTCCAAGTCTAAGACTCATGCTGTTAATAATAACAACAGCAAACAGTTACACAGTAAAGCACTTATTATATGCCAGGCACTGTTTAGATGCTTTAGGATATATTAACTCACTTAAGTATTCAGGCTCCCACTAAAAGAATTATGTCAATACTTAGGACACATTCAAGGTTTTATAAATTCCAGTACTGTTATCAGAAAAAGGAAGCAATATTTTAAATGCAATACTCAACCATAAAAGCTCTCGTTTAGAAGGTATGGAGTAAACTAAGAATATAGCCAGAGTGTTCTCCTCCATTTCTGCAACCTTGACACTGCAGTCCATTCAACTATTACTGCTACTAGAGGATCCACCTGTTTTTTCTACCTTTCACAACCTCCAAACTGTTTTTTCTGGCTTCCACCCTGATCTGGTTCAATTGTCATCTCATTAAGTCTAGGGCCTAGCAAAGTCCCAGGCACTTGGCATTTACAGATCGTCTGCTCTGACTGTTGTATCTCACCACTGTGCAGCCTAGTGGAAACAGATAGCTATGTTTTGCATATTTTTTTCAATGACTCTGGGTCAGGAAGAAAGGTGGAAATATGAGGATCTTGCCTTATCATCATTTCCTGAAAGGTGCCTGGCATGTGACCTACTTTCAATAATCTATGCCAGCTCTGTGTTCAGAAGGGAGAAGAGCTACCTGTTCACACTTACCACACATTAAGTTATAGACTTCAACATTTTCAAAGGAGTCAACTTCAGTGCTGTGCTTGAATCCAGGTCCGTAGCCAATAAAGAGAGCCTACATTGGCCAGAAAAGAAACTGGTCACTAAAGAGTTGGTCACTAAAAAGGTATTTTATATCTTTGCCCATTGTACATATACAAACTGGTTATATTAAGATAAGTGGAAAAATACTGTGCCCAGTGGACCTTCTAGGATATTATTTTAATCCCTGTTGCACATTTAATCTAAAGACATCTAGGATATCTCTCTTAACTTTATTACAACTCCTAACCTGACAACCAGAACAAAATGATGATGAAATCTTTTTTCAGCTGTGAAATGGGATCTAAATCTTACTCTTCTCATCATACACCATGCTGTAGGGATCAAATTAGATCATGCTGTGTATTTTGAAATTTTTAAAGTTCTAGGCAAATGGAGGGGATTATCTTTATTTAGAACATAAGTATGTTATCTTTCCACCTATTAATTACTGCCTTTCATTTACTGTGAAGCAACATTCTCAATGAATTACAAATAGATGAAAGAACAATTATTAGAAATATAGTATGAAATATGGGCTTCCATATTTCCAGGTGGCTCAGTAGGAAAGAATCTGCCTGCCAATGCAGCAGACACAGGTTTGATCCCTGGGTTGGGAAGATCTCCTGGAGGAGGAAACGGCAGCCCACTCCAGAGTTCTTGCCTGGAAAATCCCATGGAGAGAGGAGCCTAGTGGGCTATAGTCCATAGGGTCACAAAGAGTTGGACACGACTGAGCGTGCACATGTGTGTGCGCACGTGCGCGCGCACACACACATACACACACACAGAGTGTAAGTCACACATTCATGAAACATAGATTTTTTTTTAATTCTATTAATGTTCAAAGTAAAATAGCTATATGAAAGTACGTGCCTCATTAATTCTCTTTAAAGACACATAATGACAGTCTATGTCTTTAAGTTTAAAACTTTATATATCAGTTTTTTCTTTAGATATAAACTATAATTTTTAAAGTAGAATAGGTTTACTCACTTGCATATTTGAAAATGCATTATCAGAGCCATGGAATCCACTTCCACAATATTTCCTTTCTGAAGGATTCCTAATTGTCACATAATACAAATTAATAACGCAAAGTCCACTCATAAAGCAAAATCGACACTCATGACATTATTTCCATTAATAAAGAGTAACTATTCTTTGTATTTAACAATTTATTTGTAAAAATTATACCTAAAGAAATGCTTGGAACATAGTAGATATGTTATTATTAGAGAACTAAATATTAGTTCTAAATTTAGTTCTCTAAACATATTAGAGAACTAAATATTAGTTCTCTCATGAGAATAAGGACCTTTTCTTCTTTCATATTCTTTTTCTAAACACTGAAAGCACAGTTCTCTAATAAGGGAGAGACAGTGTAATTCTGTTGACTGAATTCTGTTTTACTGCTTAGGTTTTGCTGGATAGGGTATGTATTTATCATCTCTGGCTTTCTGGTTTCCAAAAGTTAATGATCAAGTTTGAGATATTAACAATATGCAGGATCCAAATAATTTGCTGAACATACCAATAACCTGAGGTTTATTGATAGATTTAGTATAACAAGAATGAAAAAACATCTCTAATGAAGATGGTAATTGCTCATTATTATAAAGAGCTTTTGCCAATCATTTGTTAGACTTTGAAGGTATTATTAGGCATAACTATAACATATAGAAGAGACACAATGTCAAGTGGAACATAAGAAATAATCAAGATGGACGTGAGGGGACAGAGCAGTGGTTCTTAGCTGGAAGTGACCCCTCTCACCAGGGAATTTGCAGCAATGCATGCAGATATTTTTTGTCGTCACAACTATCGAAAGTACTTTTTTATCTAGTGAGTAGAAGCCAGGGATGTTTTCAAATATCCCACAACACACGACAGCTCCCCACCACAAAGAATTATCTGACCCCAAATGTCAATAGTCCAAGGCTGAGAGAAACTGGGACAAAAAGAGAATCATATTTGAAGTCTTCATCTTACAACATCATTGGAAAAGGACCCAATGGTTACCTTGGATGACTAGGTTTACCTGGGAGACTGTCAGAACTTACAATGCAAGTTGCCACTGAGGATCCAAATAGAATGTCAAGGGCTCAATTCTGTCACTTTTGGCAAAATGCAAACGCTTGGGTAAGAATTGTTTCAGGTAAGGTTTGAAGTGCTGGTTTGGTTCCTGGCACTGAAATTGTAAGAGGCAAAGAAAAACCATTATTTCCATATTTTCTTAAGTGTAAACTGCTCTTGAAATTGCTTCCTAAGTCCATATGAATTTTTTCTCCCAAATGTTTAATCAGTATGCCCAATAAGTCATAGATACAAAAATAACTGAGTTTTCACTACTTATATAATGTAAGAGTTGCATATTCCCAACTATTATATATTCTTATTTTATAGGAAATTCTAATTATTGCATAAGAGCCCTAGGATGTTTAGATTGAGCCACCAGTTTATATTTGTGCTACTACTGATAATCTATTTTCAAATACTCTTATAATAATTTTAAGAACTTTCTTTAAAATTGTAAGAATTTTGTCAAGTAAAAAAAATGGAATATAGGTAAATTAGCACTAGGACAAAAGTTTAAGAAATCAACACAAGAAAAACTTGTAGGAAATATATCATAATGCTAAGTGTTTATGGTAGTATGGCTACAGGGTTTCCCCTCCTATTGTTTTCAATTATTTCTTGTACTGTCACATAAATTTAATAATGTCAATAAATAAATTCTTAAAATTTTAAAAACCTACATTATTGAGATATGTCCTTAAAGGCTTTTAAAAAATACAGGGCATTTAAATGTTGGCCCAGATACTCAAAAAAAAAAAAATAGATTAAGGTTAAAGTCCTACAATCTCCCAATCAAATACCAAAACTTTCTTCTAAATATATTTTACACAAAACTAGCAACAAAATGGTAATGGGGGAAAAAAGATACTCACAGAAAGATTTTTGGCAATGTCTTCATAATCAACTGAAGAGAGATAAAGACAAGAATAGTTGAATGCTATGCTACCATTAAAAATAATACAAAAATACAGCACATCAGACACAAATCCATTTAAAACAATCACATACTACTTTAATAATTTTTCTTAAGTACTAATTAAAACTTGTCATTGTACAAGTTAGAATCTATGCTTTGGGTTACTATGTCAATATACTTGCATAACAATTTTCCTGGAGGGAAATCCACATCTCCTCATGAATATTCAACCATATCTACTGAAACATATAGCACTGCATATACCCAAACCTAATCCAATGCTGATGACTGTCAGAAAAATCTCTTTTCTCTTTCCATTTCAAAGGTAATTATAACAGAATGATAAACAAAACTACTCTTAGTATTTTACAATTACCAAGGATGGTAATTGAAAAGAAGAGTATAACAATCAGTTCTTAAACAAGCTTAATTTTCAAAAGAATGAATGTTTAAAATTTCCTGGCAGTTTGGGTATGACATGTGGTCAAGGGAGAATGTGAAATTTCTTCTTCTCTGCTCACAAAACACATTCTCATTGCTTTTTGGAATAGTTTAAGAAAGTCATTTCTGGGAAGAGAAATTAGTTGCTTATAGAATTAAACATTTCAGCCAGCATTCTTCCTCATAATGGAATATTATCCTATAACATCTGTAAGTAATTTTAATGAAATAATATTAATTAAAGTTGAATAAATGTAGCTGAAATTTTGAGTTTTTCCCTATAAGTAATCTTGAATCCAACACAAGCAAAATATGAAAGTGAAAGTGTTACTTGCTCAGTCGTGTCTCTGAGACTCTTTGTGATACCATCCATGGACTGTAGCCCACCAGGCTCCTCTGTCCATGGAATTCTCCAGGAAAGAATACTGGAGTGGGTTGCCATTCCCTTCTGCAGGAGATCTTCCCAACCCAGGAATCGAACCCAGGTCTGCCGCACTGCAGGCAGATGCTTTACCATCTGAACCACCAGGGAAGCCCAAGAAAAATACACATGCTAACATAAAACTGTACCAAGCTCATCAAATAACATTCTTAGTCATGAATAACAGATTAGCGGTTAGACTTGTGCCCTCACATCCAGTCCCGTAAAATCCCTTTGGGTGCAGAAGGCCAGTCCTGGATACTTAATCATGAAAAAGAAATTAATTGATCACCTTTAATTTAAAGATATGATTCAGAGGAATGATTGTAAATATAGAGCCTTCCCAGGTGGTAAAGAATTCATCTGCTAATGCAGGAGACGCAAGAGATCCAGGTTCGATACCTGGGTCAGGGATCCCCTACTGGGGATCGCCTGCAAGGAAGATCCCCTACAGTAGGAAATGGCAACTCACTCCAGTATTCCTGCCCGAAGAATCCTATGGACAAAGGAGCCTGGCAGGCTACAGTCCATGAGGTTACAAAGAGTTAGGCACGACTGAGCACGCACACACTAACTGTAAATATAATCATATTCAAAATTAGCACAGAGATAGACTTACATGAATAGTATTTATCTGGAACATCAGAGGGTCTCAGGCGAGCTGCAGGTCCATATACAACTTTAACATCTTTAATATCTCCCAAGTATTTATTCAGATACACATATTTCTTACAACTGCCTTGTTCCATGCCTAGGAGAAAAAAAAAATCCCCAAACATGTTGCAAATTTAATAAAAAACCTTTAACATGTAGGACAGAATTTCTTTCACTTCCAGATTTAAAATCAATAAACATGAGGTCAGCATTCATGATGGGCTTCCTAGGTGGCGCTAGTGGTAAAGAACCTGCCTGCCAGTACAGAAGACTTAAAAGACGTAGGTTCGATCCCTGGGTCAGGAAGATTCCCTGGAGGAGGGCATGGCAACTTGCTCTAGTATTCCTGCCTGGAGAATCCCATGGACAGAGGAGCCTGGTGGGCTACAGTCCATGGGGTCACAAAGAGCGGACACGACTGAAGTGACTTAGCACACACGCATGCAGCACTTGTGATAGTTGAACATCTAACAGGTAAGACACAGAGTTTCACATATATTTACCACTTCACTTTAAAAAAAATATTTTCCCTTCGCTTCATCCAAAATTAGTTCAGTGTTTCTTATTTATGTATTACAATATTTTTATGTGAATGGGGAAGAATATCACAGTTTTAGCCTGAATATGAAAGCACAGTTATTTTCTCAGAATCAACTAGTATATTAACTAGGAGTATAAAACACTCATCTCATTTTCAGACTGGAGGCTTCTTTAGAATACATCTTCTTAGGACTGTTTCTAGAATATAGTTTTCAATAATTATTTCTGAAGCAAACAAAAATAACAACAAGAACAAAGAAAAAGAAGCTTTTTCTGATTTTCTTGTATACACATCGCTTTTACAGTCCCAAGTCTGCATACAAAATGTTCCAAAGGTCACAGTAAGCAACAGTTAGATCAAAATACTGCCAAAATTAACACATACTCCTTTTTAAAGTCAGATTTATCATTCTAGAGAAAATAGAAGAAGCACATAATAATCTGTTCAAAGTATGCCTAAAATGTTTAGAGTAGATTTACCAAAATCTAATATTGAAAAAAAACCCAAGTTCCTGATGTAAGCCTTCCCCAAATCAGGAGATGAATGCATTGTGGTTAATAAGCTCTTAGGTGTCTGTGAGTTCTCTGTTTCACTTGTACGTTATATATAATGTAGTATTTTCTAAAGGTTCTCCTCAAGAAATCATTGGCTATAAAAGTCAGAGGAAACAATAAAACATTAATCAATCAAGTAAACTTCTGGAAGCTCCATTTAACCTGAAGGATAAATGATGTAAACTCAGGTTACCATGATCTGAAATGAGGATGAGGTTCAAGCATCTATGCAAGTTCAGCTCCTTCAGACCATCCATCAGCATGCCAACCATGTTGTCAACCCTCTGCAAAGCTCTGATGACCTAAGAAAGGGAAACAATCTCATGTCATGCAGTTAAAAGTATTCACGGAATGCTTCTTGGAGTTCTGTGTACTTAATTTTTTAAAACTAGAACTTCTAGGAATAAAACCCATTATTTCCAAACAAACTGCATTATTTTGCATGACTATAACAAGGACACAGAATGGCATATGGTTTTGGCAAACTGCCTTTGGTATTTCTCTGCTCCTCTCTTCCAGCAAAATCACCCAAGGGAAATTCTTGTGCAGCTTTGCCTATAGCAAACCAGTCTAATCTTTACTTATAGTCTGTGTATTTTACTGTATTATGAAACACGCTCTTTCAACATGATCTCTCATTGACTGAAAGATATCCAAGTAACATGGACTGGAATTTTTAAGTATTAAAATAAAGTAGGTTTTGATGAGCCAATAATACTAGCATTTAACAGAGTTTATAAATTGATGAATATGATTTGAAAAGCAATGGACTGGACACTGAATGAAGATGAATCAGAAAAGCAGTTATATTGGGAAATCTTTCAATTCAGTTCAGTTCAGTCGCTCAGTCGTGTCCGACTCCCTGCGACCCCATGAACCGCAGCATGCCAGGCCTCCCTGTCCGTCACCAACTCCCACAGTTCATCCAAACTCATGTCCATCGAGTCAGTGATGCCATCCAGTCATCTCATCCTCTGTCATCCCCTTCTCCTCCTGCCCTCAATCCCTCCCAGCATCAGGGTCTTNATATAAGTTAAATAAGCAGGGTGACAATATACAGCCTTGACGTACTCCTTTTCCTATTTGGAACCAGTCTGTTGTTCCATGTCCAGTTCAAACTGTTGCTTCCTGACCTGCATACAGGTTTCTCAAGAGGGAAATCTTTAGTGAACACAAAAGTAATACTGGTCTTAAAAAAAATTTTTTTTTTTGGTCTTAAAATTTATATGATCTGATAATCCATTACAAAATGACCCTCAGACTTACTTGTAGCCGAACTGACCTAGAGATGGATCTTGATAGTGAAAGAATAAAAATTATATTAGCATCTGGCTAATTGTTTAGACTAACATAAGAGGTATGGGAAACCTTCCTCAGTCTAGTGATGACACGACCACGCTGTCGGCCACGTGTCTCGCACCTCTCAGAAAGAGCATCTCTACTGAGCTGATGGACAGAATCAGAGCAAGAGCACATAGGGTCGTACCACACTGAAATCACTGGAGACAGGTTTTTCTAGAAAGAGGACAGAGGGTGGAGAGTGACAGGTCTCATTTGAAATTAAAAATACAGAATTTAACTCATCATTTGTTCAGTTCAGCACTGTAGATAGTGTAAAATCAAACAATGCTCCCAGTTCGTTTTGATTAAAGTGCATCTTTTTAGTTTAATAGAAATGTCCTTAATACTGTTTCTAGAAATCATGGATTCTTATAGAATGATCAAGAAATCTGCTTCAAAGCAAGGTTCAGTGAGATGCTACCACGTTTAATGAAATAACCAGTGATAAAAACGTACTTACTTCACTGCTGACTGGTCCATAAGAGTGACCCGAAGAATCTGGTTCTTCTAAATACAGAGTGTAAAAGTGTGGTCTAAATCAAACAGCATCAAAATGTAATATTTTACGAACACATTGTAAAACAGAATAGAAAGAATAATTCAACAAGTGATAGTGAATACAAGTTTACAGCACTGGAGTAACATTTCTAAAAGTGCTGAGAAATAATTTACATGTTTAGAATTCTTCAAAACGCGGCTGTAACAGTCACTAAAAAGTTCATTTGGATATAAAACATCATAGCCAATAGCAAAGTTTTCTGTCATCTATTTAAAATACTCAGACATTTTTATAAAACAAAGCAGTATGTTATAGTAGAAATTAATCATCTACATACCTTTCATCTTTAGGAAGCTGTAGCCACTTAAGAACGGCTAAAATTCTTTCTTCAAATGGTACTGAACTAAAATGAAAGATAAAATGAAACAAATATGTGACAAGTGTTAGGGTTTAAAATATCAATGCGTTTGTGAAAGATTGACAGTTTGGGTATGTAGTGTATATGATATTAAATTGTGAATCAGTGGGACTTATGATGTAACAACATATCAATATTTGAAGATACTGGTACTTGATATCCTGATAAGAAAGTTTGCTCCAAATTTTAAGCTGGAAAGTCACTGGAATAACTGTTAAGAATCACAACTACATGATATTTTAGATTTCTGGTACGTATGTGAGAATTGTGTACAAATTGAAATGTCTGTGTAGTGATCCTCAAAACAACCAATAAAATCTCAGTTATAAAATATCAATGCGTATCTTACTGAAAACTGCATTCGGAGAGATTAAAACAGTTCAAGACATCAAATGTGTTTGAAGCAATGTTAGAGTCTCATCTGAAAACTTAAAATTGTTTTCCCGACCTAGGAACAAACATTAAGTTTTTACAGATTTGAAAGTTGTTGCTGTTCATTATTATTCAGTTACGCAGTTGTGTCTGACTCTTTGCAACACGTGGACTACAGCACGCCAAGCCTCCCTGCCCCTCACCGTCTCCCAAAATTGCCCAAGTTCACGTCCACTGCATCAGTGATGCCATCGAGCCACCTCATCCTCTGACGTCCTCTTCTCCTTCTGCCCTCAATTTTTCCCAGCATCAAGGACTTCAATGAGTCAGCTGTTTGCATCATATGACCAAAATACTGGAGCTTCAGCTTCAGCATCAATCCTTCCAATGAGTATTCAGGGTTGATTTCTCTTAAGATTGACTGGTTTGATCTCCTTGCTGTTCAAGGGACTCTCAGGAGTCTTCTCCAGTACCACAGTCTGAAGGCATCAATTCTTTGGCATTCTGCCTTCTTTATGGTCTCACAACCGTACATGACCACTGGGAGGACCATAGCCTTGACTATATTGGACTTTTTTTCAGCAGAGTGATGTCTCTGCTTTTCAACACACTGTCTAGATTTGTCACAGCTTTCCTGCCAAGAAGCAATCATCTTCTGATTTCATGGCTGCAGTCACCATCTGCAGTGGTTTTTAGAGCCCAAGAAGAGGAAATTTGTCACTATTTCCCCCCCTCACTCCTTCTATTTGCCATGAAATAATGGGGCTCGATGCCATGATCTTAGTTTTTTTTTTTAATATTTAGTTTTAAGCTGGCTCTTTCACTCTTCTCCTTCACCCTCATCATGAGGCTCTTTAGTTCCTGTTCACTTTCTGCCACTGGAGTGGCATCATCTGCATATCTGATGTTGTTTTTTCCATGTATTTTGATTCCGGCTTGTAACTCATCTAGCCCGGCATTTCTCATGATATGCTCAGAATATAGGTTAAACAAACAGGAAGCCTGTAAAAAAATGAAAGTTGTAGTCGGGTCTAAAAATCTGCTTCCCATTTTATTCCTGTACCTGAGAGTCGGAACTGCCATGTCATGAATAACCCATGTGTCAACACACTCTTTCCTCATGAAGACTTCATGAAGATGAACCCACTCATTGATGACTCTCAGTAACACTGGGAAACGGACACTTGAAGGGCAGACAGTTCTCCAGGCAACAGTTTCTGGGCAGAATTAATGACATCTTCCTCTGGGCACAGAATTTTGTTTCCGGGTCTCCATCACAGTGCTTGCCCAACCCCAAGTACACTAGGTTGTTCCTTGAGAAGGTCTCTATCAGAACTTGAGAGGCCAGACAACGTGTATCACTACTCTGCAAAATTCTCCAAGTCTAAGACAGTGCTTGGTGCATAGAATCTCAATTACCATCCAGGGAATGAAATTAATGGCAAATAACAAGGTGCTTATATGAACCACAAAGAATAAACAATAGCATAAGGTTACCAAAGAAAATATGCATTTCTTATTTGAAATTTATGAACTTTCCCTTTTGTCCCTCAAATACACTATTGTATTGGTTTTATGACATAAAGTCCCCAAGTATAAGCCAAATTATTTTGCTAGTCTCACTAAAATGATCCAAAGTGAGTCTTCCAGAAAAAAAGTTGCATGTTTTTGTTTTTTCTCCCATAGTACCTCATGGATTTTGAATATCAAAGGGAGGTTACTCTAATCAGTTCCACTATAGATGGAATATTTTAAAAAGTAATTTGAAAATGCAAATCTAGAGGTGCCATTAATATCTTCTTTCAAATAGTATTTTTGGACACCACAGGGTCACTCCTACCTGTGTCCCTTTAATACTTTCAGCTCCTTCTTCTAGTTCTTTCTTCCTGGAGTGAAAATGTTTAGGACCCCTACTTTCACCAGGACTTCAATTCTTAATCCTATCCAAAGATCTGAACACAAACTCCAACATGTTACCACCAGTGCTTTCTAGAAAACCTCCAAAAAAAAACCCACCTCATCTAGTTATACTCTCTATCTACCATCCATCCATTTAAAACTCTTTGAAATAGAGTTCTTATTTTGATAGGTCTCATTTTTCAGATAACATATCATTCAAATGCGAGAACTCAGGCTGTGATAAGAAAATAAACTGTTCTATGTTATAGGTCCTAGAAAAAGTACAGTTATACATACCCATTATAGATTTTATAGATGTCTGGGAAAATTCCATTAATTTTCACATCTGATCCTGGCCAAAAAAATGTGCCTGTCTTCAGTCCTTGATGTTTAGCTGTGAGCCAAATCTGGAGAAGACAGGGAAGGAAAATTAGGAAATTATGGAAGCACCGATTTCTTAGGAAACTGTGTTCATGCAACTGCCAACCCTTTCCTCTCAAATGCTAGAAAGTTTTGATGGCAATAAGCTCCAGGAGTTAGACTACAAAACAACCATGTAATGAGACTTTGCACAGCAGCAAAAAGAAATTAAATAATCAGAAAGTAAATTAACTTAAAGAATATAAACAATTGGTAACTCCTGCAACTTTTATAGACTTGCTTCTACTTAATAGGCTTCTGTGAAAAGAAAAAAAAAGCATGAAAAAAAGAAAAATTCACAAATATATATACCTTTAACTTATTGACATATTTTGCTTATGTAACTTAACATTTATTGAGCACTTATTATTGCCAGTTACAGTTCTAAATGGTACTCCTATAAGCAACTTAGATTATTCATTTAAATAATCATCACAATAACTCTATGAGGTAGTTAACAGAATTATTTACAGTACAGTAAACTGGGGCACAGAAAGAATAATTTGCCCCAAAATCACAGTTTTAAATGTCAGAGCTAAAAATCTGAAATTATAACTTGCAAATTAACATCATGCTCTTTTCCACCTAAGAGGGATATCAAGACTATTCAAATAGACCTTATAGAATTGTTGTGGCAATTTTTAAAAATTAAAAAGGAGAATACATCTAAATCACAATCAGAGAGAATCTTCTAAGTCAGCAAATGCAAACAAAGTCATAGTTTACTCCTACAGAAACAATTAGCTTTGTGTAAATCAAAATATTACCCCCAGATTACTGCTCTTGCTACTAGGACAAAAAGGTAGCATTAAGCAGAAAAGACACCTGGCTCAGAATAACCTGAACCCTACTCTGAAATAAAATATACAAAGATATGTTATATTTAGAGTTATCTGCATTTATCTCTATTTGCATAAGGATTGCACAAACACAGTAGATTAAGTAGGTTCTTAAAAACTCCAGGGGATCTGTTATTTTACTCTGCTAAAAACAGATGAGAATAATAAAAAATAATTTTAATAGCTAAATTAAATAAACAACTCACTGGTTCTCCTTTGTACCACTCAGGGTTAAATTTCTCTTTGCTTTTAAGTGCAAAGTGAGCATTCATTTGGGGATCATACATTTTATTGTCAATGATGCCATGGGATTCTGGATAAAGTCCCTAAAAAACATAAAATGCAAGTTTTATGCACATTATGAGTTTTTAATGTTAAGGTTACAGAACAAAATCATCAGAGAGAAATACACAACTGAAGCTACAAGGAACTTAACCTAGCTTAATTAGAAGAGAAGAACAAAACACTGCGTATTATCAAAATACAACCAACCGCTTAAGGTTTTATGTAGTATTGTGCTTTAATTTATGTAATAGGAGAAAATAAATTAGGAATGGTAGCAGCCTCTTAATTTGGAAAAAATTACTGAGATGTCCTTTTGGATTGCTCAGTGAAAAATTTCTGCATAACAAAATCCTTTTTGATTGGGGTCCAAGAATAGCTTGTCCCAATATAAGTCAAAGTATTAATTCTCTGGCTTCAACCCTGAGGCCTAATGAATTCTACATTTTTTTTTTCCTGGATCCAAATTAAATCTGAAAGTGAAACAAAAAGAGAGCTGTAATCACATCTAGAGTCAGGCAAAGTGGTTTGCTTAGACTCACACATTGAAATGATTGGAAAGACGGTTGAGGACCTGTGAGTGCAGACAATCTGGGGCTCAAATAAAGTAAGCTAAAAACTAATCAGAAAGAACAGAACCTAAGAATCTTAAACTGAAAGGGAATTAAGAAGTCATTTCTTGGGGTCTTCAATCACCTCTTTTCACAGATGGGAAATGGAGACCCAGAAAGTAAAGTGACTTTCCCAAGGTCACAACAGGTTAGTAGAAGAGCAAGGACCAGAACCTCAGTTTCTCTGCTTAACTACACAATGAAAAAGAAGTTATTTTTTTTCTGATCGGAAATCTGACTATTCTCTTGAAAAATGTTATATTTACATCTCACTTTTGTGAACATAAAAAAGTTGAAATCCAGAGCTTACTGTGACAATGCTGTAGTGATTGGGGAAAGTTTTTGTTGGATATACTGGTCTCAGGTTTTTAGTATATGTCCCACAGGTTTCTACAAGGGGAAGAAAAGATTGTTATTAAATACAACTGACAATCTGTTTCCTTCATTTAGCGTTGGTACCACAGACTTCTGAGTAGTACTAAAACATGAATCCAGAAGGGATTTACAACCATTTAAAAATTCAGGGTGAATTACGAAGCAACATTGTGGATTCAAACTCAATGCTGAGAGCTAGTTTTTCCTCTTAGTTAAAAAAAAAATTAAAATAATTAAGCCAATGAAATATTTATCCCATACTTACTAATAACATTAAGTTCCAGATGGACCATAATGATGCTTGTTAGATCTTTGCTATTACTTGGTGGTAACATATCTAAATACAAGATGTAGTTTTAAAAAAAACAAACAGCCAAAACTACAAACTTCCCTAGTTGCTAACTCAGCAAAATGAAAACAAGAATGAAGCAGTAGCTAGGAGGACAGTGTCCCACCCCAAAGTCCAAACCAGTTAACTCTAGACAAATTAAACACTGCTTTAATGATAAAAGGCATCTTCTGGCTTCAAGCATTAATACGAAAAGGACAGAAGTCAAACTGTTCCTGACTTAGCCCTAGAGTCACATTCCTCTTCTGCCTCTACCACTGAGCAGGGAACACATCACTAATGAGTCTAGCATTTCAATACCTCATTCCTCAAAATGTTCCTCAGGCTGGTACAGGTACATCTATCTCCTTACATTCCAAACAGTTCAGAATTATAGGCTACACTTCCTAATTACCCAAAGCAAGGACTTTAGTTAACTATGTATTGAGTTCCTTCCAACTTCACATATAGGTACCTATGGCTCCTTACTTATGAACTCAGGATATTGTATTTGATGCTATGGAAACAAACTTTCCTCCCGATGATAACAAAAGGCCAGATGCAAGCCTCAAAGCCCGTAAGCCTGGCTGATAAAACGGAGTCTTTCTTGTCCATGTAAGCTCTTTCCTAAAGACTTTTATGTCAAATGATTATTTAGAAAAACTACTTTCTTCCCAGTAGAAATTAAAAACTGAAATTTTTAGTTCTCCAAATAGTTTCTTACAAAAGAAGTACAATAAATGTACCTATGTGATTATGGAGAGTGATTGTGACATTTAAATATTCAAGTCCAGTAAATAATGTCTCAGAACTCCAGAAGAACACCAAAATAGTGAATTTACTTATTTCCATTTCAGTCCAGTATTACACTGTGGCTATTTAAATACTGATCACTGATAACAAGTAATGTTCTTCAGCTTTTATACCCATATTTAATTTTTTATTTTTTCAATAACGATGATAACGAGTGATACCCATATTACTGGTGGTTAATGTGATTTAAAACTTTTGCATTTATACTAAGAAAAGACTATTCTACTACTGCATTACTAACTTTTAATTAAGAAATTGGAAGGATGCCTCATGATACTAAAGGATAAATAACAAGTAAATATTCTATGTCTGCACTACTAGATTCATACAAGAAATACCTTCAGTCTTTGAAATTCTACTTTAAGATGTAGTCATATTAGATAAATAAATATATAAATAGTTTGTCCACAAAATGAAACCAGAAGTCTAAGGAAAAAAAAAAGTATGTCTCATCCTTAACATCTGTAACCAAGGAATAAAAACTCCAAGATAATCATTATTATCTTAGAGTTGTTTAAAAGGCAGTTTTAGAACAATTATAATATTAAAGACTAGGTCCTTATCACTAGGGTTTAACTCTTTTACAACAGAGAAGTTTAGTAACACAGATTCTGCCGTATTTTTCCAAAAAGAGACTGCCTCCTCAGTCTACTGACACTGTGGCACTCCAATAGTATACTCTGTTACTCACTCAGCTTGCTAATAACAGGAAGAAGTCCGCCCCAAGTGTGTAAATATTCTGCCCTGAAACCATCCAAAGAAAATAAGAGGGTAGGAGGTGTTTCAAACCTGGGTAATGAGAAAGAAAGAAAAAAAATGTGTAAAGAAGAAAGAAGACACAGATCCAGTGAACATTTTCCACTGAGGTCGGGATATAATCTAAGGTAAACTAACAAGCTCAACAAGCATCTTTATAAAGAATATTTTACAAGTGTCTATATTCACATATATGATTTTGTATTTCATCATGTACATTATCAAATATTACTGATTGAGCACTCATCCCATTTTGAGGCACCATACAGAGACCATCATTTACGGTCCCTGCTATTCTAAAAGACAGACGAAACACAACCAAAATGCAATAATATTTATCCAATTTGCAAGAGAATAAATATTAACAAACAGCATATTCTAAATTGTGCTCTTGTTTCTACTAGGGCAGCTTTATAATGTTTAACAGTTTGGAAAAATCATTATTTTAAACACATAATATATTTCTGAAGATTAATAATTCAAATTATATAGATCTCAAGTAGAACAAAGATAAACATATCTAACACTGTCACCAAATTTCCACTTTTCAAATTCTACACAAACCTTTCCTGATGACCTTATAAACATAAGGTATTGTATAAAATACTTTAGACAAAAAATGGAAAATACAAATTATAAAAATTATGTAACATCTTCTCATAGACATGTTATCCTGAAAACATACAAGTGAATCAAAAAAATTTTTTTTAAAGTTGTAATTTGTTATAAGTTCAACTTGAAAAACTTCAAATGAAAGTAAAGATCCTTTTTTCCTAAGAAGGAAGACACAAATTCTTTCACCCAGCACTCATGAACATTAAATATTCATAACCTCTCTTTTTTTTTCCAGTTTCCAGACCAGAAGTGGGAAGTGGGAGATGAGGGTTGGGGGGCTGGGGGAGAGGGTCATGCCATAATCACTTCTATATCACCAATGCCAAAAGAAGGTCTAACTAAAAATAATATTCATTGAACCAATGAATAATTATTATTATTTTTATTTTTTCAATTTGGAAAGAGAAAGAGTGGTACTTCTATAAAAGAAAACATTAGTATCTCAGAGTATAATCTTACCCTGCTGGACACTGTGGCTCATCAATGCTGTCACATTCTTCTTCTGCCCAGCTTTTCTCCCCTAAAATATTTTCAAGAAGTACAGTGAGTTGAACACATTCAACAGAAACAATAGTCGTGATGTTTGTGAGACACATTAGGACGCATTCCAAAAAAAAGAAAAATTAAGAGATACATAGATCATGTGGGGTGTGCTTCTCAGGGAATAGAACAAATAGAGAGTTATTCTATTTCAAAGTAAGAGTTAGTTGATATCAGGAATTAAAGAATGAATATATAATTGCAAGACTAAAACATATTGCTGTATTTGTGAGAACTTGAAGGCACCTTTTCCATTTTCAAATTGTCATTAATAATATTTTCAGCCAAAATTTATAACCCTACTTCTATCCACCCAACAGAATCTTCTGCCTTAGTTCCTCTCATACAGAGTCAAGTTCTGTCAAAGAATTTCAAAGAACCCTGCAACACCTAGGCAAGACATCAGCGTAACACCAGCTTACACAGAGTCTTAGACACTAACTTCTCTCAACATCAGGCAGACACTGTCCTCGTTTACGATGAAAGAACCTGTTACATCGTCAGCCAAGACTGTGAAGTGATTGTTCCACAAATACAGCATTAAATATGCAGCTAATATCAAAATAACCTGAGGGTGGAGCAGCAGCAGTGTATGACTATAGATAAGAAAGATTAGCCGTGTGTAGACAATCATGATTATTAGGCTGGGTGATGCAAACTTTATTACATATTCTCTCTATTCAGGTATATATGCTTGAAACTTTCTTTAAAAAAATGCTTTTAAGATATTTTTTCAGCCAATATGGTTTGTCAATAACTATGACTTTGGCTGTAAAAAACACACCCATGCCAACCCCCTCTGAGACCTAGGAAGATGTCAGCCTGTGTCTGAGCCTGGTGAGGTACAACCTCCTGACCTCGGCACACGGATCCGTGGTTGACACAACAGTCTCCCTTGTCCTTGCAGTCATCTGAACAGGAGCAGAGGCTTCGGGACAACCTTTTCTCACCACACCTGAATTTGCTGCAAGTCCATATCCGCTCTAGAAATAAATGTCAACATAACACATTTTATGGTCCAAATTCAACATGTCCAAAATGAACACAGAATTGTCTTCTAGAACGTGATCTATGAGAGATGATGGACCATTTCTTCATCCTCAGTGACTCATAGAACTTTTCACCACAGTGATCAATCTGAACCAACAGAAAATACGCAGGCAACAATTATCATTTCACTAAAAGCCAGAATCTCATCATTTTAAAATGTAAACGCTGAATGAGAAGCAAGTCCAAAAGAGAGGGAATATACGCATTAATATACGTATGGCTGATCATTCTGCTGTAAGGTACGAACTAACAAAACATTGTTAAGCAACTATACTCCAATAAAAATTAATTAAGAAAATAAAATGTAAGCAGACGTAACTTTTTTTATACAACTCCCATGTCAATCTTGGCTTATTCCACCACCAGTCATTGCCAGAGTTCTCCAAATTTCTCCAAATCTAGCTCACTATCATTTAAATGTTATTATTCTATGGGCTTCCCTGGTGATTCACACGGTAAAGAATCTGCCTGCAATGCAGGAAACCTGGGTTTGATCCCTGGGTCAGGAAGATCCCCTGGAGAAGGGAATGGCAACCCACTCCAGTATTCTTGCCTGGAAAATTCCATGGACTGAGAAGCCTGGCAGGTTAAAGTCCATGGGGTCACAAACAATTGGACATGACTGAGTGATGAATACTTCCACTTTCATTGGTAAAGAAGATCAAATCAAACTTTTCACAGTCTGATAGCTTTATTTTAAAGTTTAGGTGGATGTCTTAAGAACTCTCGCTTTAATAAGCCCATAACAGAAAGAGTCATATATTTTTAATCAGTCTTTTTGAACTTAGGTAAAATGTAAATTAGACCATATAGTCTGTCAGCAAACACCGAAATCAGCACAGTGCTGCCATCCATAAAATTTTTAACAAAGGCAAGATATGCAAATTTTGTTTGTGTCGGGAAATATAAAGGACAAATTTTTTAAAATCTCAAATGGGTTAGGTAAATCACATACCTAAAAGATGCAGAATTTTCCTTTGCTCTTTTACCCCATCTTTTCCCCTGCACATTCTTACCTGGTTCTATACATGTCTCCTGGTAATCTAGACAGCAGTTTCCAAGGTCAACACAAGCAACATCACAGCGGCAGTTTCCAAATGTTCTCTCAAAACAGCGACCCTTGCAACTCTTAACTGAAAATATCGAATGAGTTAGATGTTTCTAATCATTACATAAATACAAAGCAAACAGCAACTAATGTACCCTAAGTTCGGTATTGAGTTGGTTTAAATACTCTTTTAGAAAACACAGATGGGATGGGCAAAAAGCTAACCAAGAATCTTTTCACAAATACCTATAGAAAGTGACACAGACAGGAGGCAATAACCTTATGTATCAAGTTTGCAATTTTATCTCTTGCCATAGAAACAAAAGATAATTTTTTTCTTTTATATAGTATAACTAAGTAGCTAATGAAACTTAAATACATGTAGAATATTAAATAAGGGAAAAATAAGAAGAGCTTGTTCTGAATATTTTATGTACGGTTCTTTAAAAACTGATAATCTCTGAAAACTTCATGAAGACAAAGAGTACCTGACTTACGACACCCTCAGTCTGGTGTAAAGAAGTAATGCGTTTGTGCAGAACACGTTCTGCTGGACTCATCTCCCACCACACCTGATGTGTCCACTGCACCTTCAGATCCAGCCTGGCTCCCTCTGAGAAGCCTTCCCAAACTCCCCTGTCCAGATGCTTTTTCCAATTTTTAAAGTTTATATGAAACCTTATCCTCCCTTTCAGTCACTGAGTTTCATTTGTACCTAGATCGTTTGGTTACTAACCCAGTCTCAACCTGGACCACAAATTTCTTAGGAGCAAAGACCACATCTGGACGATGCCCAGCACACTGTACCCTGGGAATCCAACAAAAGCCGTGACTACAGTTGGTACTAGTGAGTTTTTGTTAAATGGACAAATGCCAGACGTGGAAGGAAAACACTTTGCATTAAAAACAACTTTACAAGACAAGAACAAACGGATGGACACCAAGACGGGAGGAGGGGTGAGGTGAATTGGGAGATTGGGATTGACATATATACACTATTGAACTACGAATAAAAGAGATAACTTATGAGAACCTACTGCACAGCTCAGGGAACGCTACTGAGTGCTTGGTGGTGACTCAGTGGAAAGGAAATCCAAGAAAGCGGGGAGTGTGTCGAGCTGACTCACTTTGTGCAGGGGAAACTAACGCAGCCCTGCAAAGCAACTGCACTCCAATAACAACTAATCTGAAAAATTCACACTGTGACTCTTTACTAGTTATCAGCAATGATCTAGATTTAATGACAAATGAATCAGGGTGGTAAGAAAAACAACCCACTTGTAGAATAATGGAAGTCCAAAAGAAAAAAAAAAGAGGAATAATCCTTGCTCATGGTGTCATGGTCCCCTGACCCAAGAAGACACTGTCACAGAACTTAACTCTCATTTGATACCAGGAAATGAGGCAACTTTAAGGACATGAAATGACAATAATAATTTCTAGGGTCAAAAATACTAACTTTCCTGATCCAAGGGGGAAAACTATCATAATAGTAGCTATTACTTGCAGATCATCAGTATGCTTCCATTAACTTAAAAAATAATATGTATTTCACCTTGAGTTTAGATTAAAATTTGTGTTTTCAGTCACCCAGTTCTATTTTTATGTGCCAAACTAAACTCAAGGTGAATTACTTAGTGCTTAAAGGCTGCATAGGTGAACACTAAAATATGTAGCTTCTTAATTTTACTAAATGTTGATATGTTTGCTCTGAATTGTTGCTGACTAAATATGTAAAATTACTACATTTCATTCATTTTAAAAATAAATGACACCTTAACAATCACTATTTTTTTTAAAAAATGACTAATAGTACAATTATGGAATAGTTGAATAGAAGGATTTGTTCAGTTTTCAAAACTGAATTCCTTAGGAATTCATCAATGATTTAAAAGGAGTAAAAATAAAAAACTACTTCAAATCCAAAATAATGACTACTACAATGTACTGTAACTCAGTTTTATTATTTATAGTGATCTTTCCATGTTGGCATGATTACCAAACTTCATAAAAAGAAAAATATAAGTAACAGCTTAAAAATATCACTACTGTTTTGAAATGACTGCACTTCTAAAAGACTTACAAGCATGTAAGGATGTTTCCAGCTGCCCAGGCATGCTGTTTACCTAGTAACCTCAGGGCTGCTCCAGCACCTAACGCCTTAGAGAGTAAAAGTGGGAGTCCCTGGAGGAAGTCAGGGAGAGAGGCTCACAGAGCCCTGCATAAGAACCTGTCATCCATGTCTGCTTGTTTGTATCTTTGTTCTTTTTTGTTGTTTTGAGGTCTTTCACTGTTTTTTTTTTTGGGGGGGTGGTCATAACCCCTCTTTGTTGTTTTGGGATGAAGTTTTGCAAGTAGATAGTATAAAGCTAAAATAATAAAAGATCTTCAAGAAGAATGCTCAAACTAGCATCAAATGTGCAATTATCTATAGAGTACTCACCTCTAGAGGTAGAAATGGCAACCCACTCTAGTATTCTTGCCAGGAAAATCCCACGGACAGAGGAGCCTGGTGGGCTACAGTCCATGGGATCGCCAAAGAGTTGGACACAACTGAGTATGCACACATATGCATGAAGTACTCAAGGAATGAGGACATAACTACTGTCTCAATCACATTCTCAAGAAGGCTATTACCCCCACCCGCGTGGGGCACATACATACACCCATGCACACGTGAATGAGTATACTACTTACTTTCTTTGGCACAGCTTGGTTTCAACCCAAATATACAACCAAGGATTGTTGTTAACACACAGACTGACAATACCTGTCAGGAGAAAAAAGAAAATGATGTCATTTCAAAGCCCTTTTATTTCTTCAAATTTTTATTTCTTTGAATGCTTCCAAACATGTCAGTCCTGCTCTGTTTCCTGATCTGGGTGCTGGTCACACAATGTGTACACTGTGTAAAAACTGAAACTGCACATTTACGTTTCATGTACTTTTCTGTATGTATGTTCGACTTCAACCAAAGGACTGAAGATCTTACTTAAAGATTAGCAAACAAATCAATGCCCTCCTAGGTTAATGTAGTCAGAAATTTCCCAGTTGATGCAAGTGAATCCAGTCCAAAAACTTATAATTAAAGAAGAGGAAAGGGAAACCTAATAAGAGACTCAATTTTCTACTTTTTAGTCCATAAAAGGTAATATGATAACATCAGAGGCCTCTTTTAACAGTTTTGTTACACAAACCTAAACAGTATCCTCATGTGCCCTGTGACAGCTTGTGGGAATGAGCAACAGACAGGGTTGAAAGATTACAACCAAGACCCAAATGTTACCATAAACTAACTATGGATAGATTTGAGGCAGGTCACTTTAACATTCCAGACGCCAATTTATTCTCTCATAAAATTAAAGGGCTGGACTCCCTGGATCCCTAAAAATCTTTCCAGTTCTAATATTTTGCCACCTTCTCATTCTCCAATACTCTGGACTTTGACATTTTAATATAAATGGTTACACCATATAACTCCCAAGAACAATGACAGAAGCTTGTGAGTTAGAAAAAAAAAAAGGAGCAGAAAAATCTACAAAATTGTCTTCAATATTTCTCAGTGGAATGGAGCTCCCGCGGCAGTTCTCTGGAATGTCACATTTCTGGACAATCCAGCAAAATCTGCACTGAGCACCAACTACATGTAAAGATTACATCATGCACCAAAACAAAGTATAAGAGATACACCAGGGAGCTTTGCTGTTTTCGGGAAAAAGCAAAGTCACAAACGGCGCATATTTGGTTACAGAATTCTAGTGTTTAAAGAAGAAAGGCTAAGGTGTTTAGTGAGAAGGAGATCAGAAAAGCTTTCACCAAAGAAGCCTCTCAGCTGGGCTCTGAAAGGGAGACATGATGGTGTCACTGCCAGGCAGAGCTGATGGACGGGAAGAGAGGACAAGCAGAGGAAACCCAGCATAAGGCAAGGCCTTCAGGATGGAAGGGATATGGGAGGCAGCAGATGAGGGATGAGTAGCCTCCTTTTGCAGGAACAAGAATTTGACAAGGGGAAGAGATGTAGTATAGGAAGGTGGTGTGGCATTTCCTGAAAACCAAAATGAAGAGAGAACAGAGCCAGGAGGAATGGGTGAATGGCCCAGGGTGGATGGTGGGTAAAGGCTTTTAAGTTTTCTGAACTCATTCTCTCAAATAATACATACTGCATCTTGACCATATGCTGGTCTGCAGACTAAGTACTGGGTACTTGGTAAAAAGGAGACATGACCTCTGTCCTCAGGATGCCTACTGTCAAGGGCCTGCAGAACTAAAGAGAAACAGAGTGGCAAGAAAACTAAGGAAGCAAGTCTGACTCATCTCAAAGGAAAATGAGGGGAAACGAAAGAAGAGTAAAAGAATAGCAGGCCTAAAATGCAACAGGGTCTAGGTCAGTTTTCTTTTTGGGAAATCAAAAACCTAAATGTATATATGTCCATTAAAATAAACAGCCATTCAGAAGAGCCTGAACAAACAAGTAAAGAACAGCAAGCAGAACAAGGTATCAAAAGAGAATACTAATAAGTTTTCTTAAGCCTTGATGGTATAAAGCAACACAAACGTATAGAAGGGTGATTCTAAAGGATCTATCAAAAGCAACAAAAACTCTCTTATTGTCAACTGTAAATATATAAGGAAATGAAAAAATAGTCAAACTAATCTGTATTTAGCATTCTGTAATAAAATCCCATGGACGGAAGAGCCTGGAGGGCTATAGTTCATGGGGTTGCAAAAGAGCCAGACATAGCTTGGCGACTAAACAATAACAACTTAAACCATGAAAATGAAAGTTTATTTCTTTGTAATAAACCTGTCTAGAATAGTTTGAACAATGCTGTATCTACATTTTACCTTAAAAATCATGAAGCTTGGAGGCATATAAGAAAAGTTGTTGGCATGTTTTGCCTCTGTGTTATAAGAATATTTGCTTGGAGTTTCCTGCTTGTTTAGAGGATCTGAATTATTTCTTGGATATTTATTGAAACAAAATAGGTACAAAGAAATCACTCAATCTTTTTTTTTGTTCTCACAGATTCCCTCAAAAGGAAATGGCAACCCACTCCAGTACTCTTGCCTGGAAAATCCCACGGACAGAGGAGCGTGGTAGGCTACAGTCTGTGGGGTCGCAAAGAGTCGGACGTGACTGAGCGACTGCACTTCACTAACATAATGCATATTATTCTCCTTATCAAGTACTCATCTAAATATGTGGCTATTGTGTGAAACCCTTTTGCTAAAGGCCAGAGATGCAAATGAAAGCAATTCCTATCCTGCCAGAGAAACAAAGCATGTGGACATTAAAATGAATGATTACAATAGAACTGGACGAGAGCTGCAGTAGAAATACGTAAAGAAGTGTTAACATGCTAACTGTATAGTGGAGAGAAGAAAAGGAGAGAATGGTTATAAAAAGACATCATGAAGAGAGAGCTGGATTTCCCCTTTAATCAACAAACAATGTCTGAGTGCCTGCAATATGCATGGGATTTCAATTCTGTGGAGTACAAAATTAAAGCAAAAAAGAATTTGTGATGAAATCTCTAATCTGAGTTGATAATCTACTCAGGACAACAACTCTAGAATTTGTTGATGATAAAGACATGAGATGGTGACAAGCAACCTAAGAATTAACATAGGTAGTGCCAATGTGTCACCCATGCAAAGGTACAGAAACTGTTTTTTAACTATACAGGCTAGTTGTGGCTCATCAACATGATGCCACAAAGTCCTGCAGCAAAACTAGACTGAACCAGCCAGCTCCAAGATGGCAGATAAAGTAGGATAAATGTCACCACTTTCCATGCCTTGATTTATCTCTGTGTTTCCATACCAACCCTTGAGAGCTGGACACTGGCCCTGACTCATCTCCATGTTTCAAAAGCACCTGGTGTTGGGCTGATGCTTTGAAGTTTTACTGAGAGAGATATGTGCTTTGAGAGACACACAGTGGTCAACCGCCCTGAACTGGCCCTGACTTGACATAGGATCTCGCATGTGCAGATGAAACCTGGAGATGTCCAAGAGTTACCTTTGCTTCATCACCATGCTTCATCCCTACCTGGGGGAAGAGGGGGATTTGTACTCTGCTAGGCACAATTGGTGCCATGTGCAAAGGGGCAGGGAGGACGTGTATGCCCCTGCTGCCCCAGACGTCTCCACCCCTTCCTAGAGTCCTGATGTCCTGTCTGCCTCCTGACCCTTAAAATTCCCTTACTCCCCTCCCTTCGGGGAGAACGTACCTTGGGAGCATGAACACCCCTTCTCCATTCTCTGGTCATTGAGTAAAAGCCTGACTTGCTGCACCAAACTCAGATTCGTTATTAGCAGCACACACCTGAGTGGGAAAGAACTCCTTGAGCAATCGGGGGTTGGGGGGAGCTCTGGTTCAGCTAGGGCCCCAACAGAGGGGCCTGGTGTCTAACTCGGGAACAGATCTATGCAACGGTGCTTTGTGCGATGCCAGGGAAGGAAATCATACCGGTTTGGGAAAGAGGAAACAATGATGGCAGTAAACCATCACTTGTACAGAACAGTAGTAACCATCCCTTCGGTGATACTTACTACGTGCTAGGCACTATTCTATGAGTTTTATATCAAATCATTTAATCCTTACAGTAACACTGAGACACAGATGATTGTTTACTGAGTTTAAAGAAATAGCTACAGAGAGGTTAGCAACTTGCCAAGGATCACAGTTCGTAAGTGACAGGGGCGAGATTCGAACTTAAGCGGTCAGGTTGTGAAGGGAGTGGGCAGTCGGTGGTGGGGGGAGGGCCAGTGGAGTGGCTGAAAGGCGGCCTTCGGGGCAGTCACTGAGAAGCTGTTGAGGCATCTGAACATGGAAGGAACATGACTGGATTTATAAATTCTAGAAAGATCTTCTGGCGACACTGTGGAAGTCTGCGATGTCACTCTTGTGCCTGCTTTCTCTCAGGAGACGCTCTGTCCTCCGGTCCCTTCCTCACTCCCAGTTACTGCAGCCTGACCGTGCTCTGAGAGATCTGTTTATCTGTCTGCCTCTGACTGGACTGTGAGCTCCAGGGAGGCATGGATTTATTTACTCATCTTGGTATTTTCCAGGCCAAGCACAGGGCCGAACACACAGGCGTTCAGTAACTGCTGACCTGAAAAATCAGTACACTAATTAAACACAACTTGGAGGAAAACTATAAACCTCCCCCCTTCTCTTCATGTGAATTGACAAAGTCAATAAGTTCGTTAAGTGCCTTTGTGTCTGCTTTATATATAGGGCACCTATAATGAATAAAGGCAGAAAGCAATTTTTTTAAGGAGATGGAAGATGGCTGGATTTGGTATTCAAATGTGACAGACCCCCCCTCCAACTTGAAGATGAATTAATTATCTGACCATATTACCTATCAGTCTTCTGACCTTTGACCAAAGCTGCATACTTCTGGAAACCACTCTGAAAGAACTCAGACCAAGACACTGCTGGAGTCTTCAGGGGATCTCCTTTCCTCGAGGACGAGGATTAGATCTTAATGCAAAAAGTCTGGTGCCAAGAAATATCCACTGGAGACTCAAAGATATGACAGGCCCAAAGATAATGTCTTGTTCTTGAAGAACTCTAGAGTGTTACAAAGGTCAGTACAAAAGTTAGAACAACTGCTTGAGTGGATGGAGGAGCTTTCTAAAGACAAAGTTCTAACCCTTATACAGCCTCTTACACACAGCATCATTTCAGTTACATTTGACCTCAATGAAGATTCCCCCAAATGGCAGTGAGATCTTATATAACGGGTCAGATGAAAATGG